TTGCATTTTTTATTAAAACTCCCATTGCCAAGTACATCTCCTATTAAAGACTCCACTGCATCCACATCAAGCTTGTTCGGCGACGCTATACAAAAAAATTAAATTGTATATAAGACCCTCAAATTTATCTAATTCACAAAATTAAGCCCAAATCCCCACCTACAATCTGCCTCCCGTCATTAACCCAATCCCACCCGCAGTTGTTTCCTTACCCAACGTCGCATCTAGGTGTGTGTTGATGACCACATAATCGAGCCTCGTGCCGGCGGCCTGAGCCTCACACCGTCTCCGATCTGATTTTGATTGACAGATGATCGAAGTTGGGATTTTTGGTTTCCGTGGCGGTTTTCATTGATTTGGTCGATTTTTAATTCCGTAGGCAGAGAAGACGGGTGGTGGAGGGGAGACTGAGGAACTCGATGGCGACGGTGTAGCAGATTCCGATGCCGACGAAGTCAACCGAAAGGGGTTAATCGGCGGAGAAGATAGGTCGCCGGCAACCTCCGTCGGAGAATTAGACAGAGAGAGAGGGAGAGAAAGACGGTAAAATAAAGATGACTGCGTCAAAGATGACGACGGTAGATGCAGTAGGCGGCGGCGAGCGGCTGCGGGTGGCGGCGAGCGGTGGGGCTGACTGGTATGGAACAGTGCGTGGAGTGTGTGTGTGTGAGTATGTGTGCTGCTTGAGATCTGAGTTGGTCGGAGGAGTGGCAGATGGTGGTGGTCGGTGAGCACGGATGCCGGCGGTTGACGTTGTCGATTTCTGGCAGCAGTCGGGGAGAGAGAAATATGGGGCGTAATTGTAGTGTGTGTATTTGTGTGTGAGAGAGATAGGGGGGATAGAAGAAGGGTTAGTGGTGGGCCCATGTTGAATATTGGATGGATATGTAATGACTAATCTGTCCCTATTGAGTGGTCAAATATGTAGATATGACCTCAATGTGTATACTTATTTACTGTATTGTCATTAATGATTAATCATTATTTATTAAAGTTTGACTTCATTATGTCCATTGATCGTACCGATTCAATGGTCTATATTCATTCTTATTTTTTTCACTATCTACCATTCTCATATTTTTTTTCACTATATATATATAGAGAGAGAAGAGATCATATGAGAATGGTAGATAATGAAAGAAATAAGAATGATCATGGACCATTGGATCCAACAAGTCAATGGCTATGATCAAGTCAAAATTAATAATAGTAGTCAAACATTGGCTGGCATTCTTGTAAATAAATGATCAAATCGTGGTCATTATTTACATTTTACCATTCATTAAAGATAAAGTAGTCATTTCAAATAATTACAACTCAACAAATGTGGTGCAATTTAATAGTCACTAATGTGCAATTTGTATAACTTTAATGTGCAACGTTATACATAAAAAACTAAAAAAAATAGTAATAATAGTTTTATATTGTTCGGCTTGTTCGTTTATTTTGGTTATTTTAAAAAATAAGTCGAACTATATAAAAATTATATAAAAATTAATATTTTTTATAAAAATATAATATTATAATTTAGTATTTGAGGCGACTATGTAATTTAATAAAACCAATACATGCACAATAATATTAAATAAAATGCCCAATAATGTGCATCCCAACATACATTAATGTGCAATCCGTTTAAAGGTATTCTGCAAACTTCCAATCGCTATTGTGCAATCTAAATTAACCGATCTTTTGTTTCAAAGTAATTTAATACCGAACACAATTAACTAGCTTATTTGATCGGCTAATTAAATTAATCGAAATAAATGAAATTAAAATATCATATTTATTATTTTTATACTTTATCTATCATTTTATATTTTTTTGGTTTAAGAATATTATTTTAAACAAAAAGATTACAAAAAAAATTACAAAAAATAATGTTTTTTTATATAATTTGGTCTCGGTTATTTTAAAAATTAAATATGCAATCAAACTGAAATAACTAAAATTTTAAAGGTAAAAATAGATAATCGAACCAACATATAAATTATAGACAAAAAACTTAGTTCGCTAGATTTCGATCGGTATGGTGCAATCTGACAATCATCAACGTGCAATTCGTTTAACGCTAAGGTGCACTCGAAGTGTATATATTTTTTAACAATTTATCTCAAACCAAACTAAATCCTAAATATATTTAGTATTTTAATGTTTTTATTGAATATCTTATATCATTTTTTTTGTAAATCAAAATACTTTTTTTTTTTGTCGGTCGGTTCGATTATTTTAAACAATAAAGCTGACAACAGTCTGAGATACCAAAATTTTTAAACTTACAAACAGATAATTAAACCAATATATTTGTAAAAAAAATTTATGTGCAACACGTTATTTTATAAGGTGCAACATTTTATGTTATAAAGTGCAATGTATTGTTGTATAAAGTGCAACGTATTGATATGTAAAGTGCAATATCTGAATTTTGGTACGTTAGCATGCATATGTTTTTTTTATTGTATAGATGATGTGATGAATATTAAAGTATTATGTAGATCTAATGATTAGATTTATATAGCCAAATATTTTGACGGTAGCTGTTGACATTAATTGTGGAGTGTGTTGATAAAGTGCAACATGTTGTTTTATAAAGTGCATCGTGTTGATATATAAAGTGCACTACTTTATATGAGCGCATATAAAGTATGTTTTTTTAAAACTATATTTAGTAGATATAATGGTACATCAAACTAACCTAAATAATTAAAATAATTTATTATTTATTATTATAAATGTATATTTATTAGTGATATATTTTTTGTATATTAAAATTTTTCATGTTAAAGTTTTATCAATTTTTTTTATTATAAAAATATATTTAATATTTGTAATTTTGTTATTTAATATGTTATATTATTGTTCCTTGAAAAACAATAGTCATTCGATCAGTCCATCAAATTAATATAATCCTTCTTAATGAATTATTATGTATATTATGAATATATATTTAATATTAGTATTTTTTATTTAATAATTTATATTAAATAAATTGCTTATTGGTTTATTATTATTATTGTAGTTTGTAGTGATGATATTTGCAATGTGCATATACACATAGTATACTTATTTTAATTGAATATAGTTTGCATTTATTATATTTCTAATAAATTGCAAATTTGACCCAATAATTAAATTGTAATATATTTAAATTTTTGAAAATTGCAATCCAGCCCCTATAGAATATC